TGATTAAAAGATAAATCATCATGTAAAATGTTAAGTAAAAAATATAAATAAAGCAAGATTCATGTGGCTGTCGTCCACACTTGCACTAGACACCTGTGGTCCATCTCTTTCTCTCCTCGCCGACACCACACCACCTATTCAGGTCCAACGAATCCTGTGGAGCTGGTCTCCGGCAGAAAACATAGTGGAAACCCTTCAAGAAGCAGGACTGGGCAAAGACTATGAATATGACCCAAAAGCACAGGCAGGAAAAGGAATAATAAACAAATGGGATTATATCAAACTAAGAAGGTTCTGCACAGCCAAGGAAACAATTAACAGAGTGAAGAGACAACCTGCCGAGTGGGAGAAAATGTTTGCAAACTATGCATCTGACAAAGGATTAATATCCAGAACATACAAGGAACTCAAACAACTTAACAGTAAAAGAAACAAATAACCTGATTTAAAAATGGGCAAAGGAGCTGAATAGACATTTTTCAAAAGAAGACACTACAAATGGCCAACAAACACATGAAAAAATTCTCACCATCACTAATCGCCAGGGAAATGCAGATGGAGACCACACTGAGATATCATCTCACCCCAGTTAGACTGGCTATTATCAAAAAGAGAGAATAACAAATGCTGGCGAGGATGTGGAGAAAGGGGGAACCCTCGTACACTATTGGTGGGACTTTAAATTGGTGCAGCCATTATGGAAAGTGGTATGGAGGTTTCTCAAACAACTGCAGACAGACCTGCCATATGATCCAGCAATCCCACTGCTGGGTCTATACGCAAAGGAATGGAAATCATCATGTCGAAGGGACACCTGCGCACCTATGTTGACTGCAGCTCTATTTATAATAGCCAAGAGTTGGAACAAACCTAAATTTTCATCGACAGATGACCGAATAAGGAAAATGTGCTATATTTACACAATAGAACACTACTCTGCCATAAAAAAGAATAAAATTCTGCCATTCACAGCAACATGGACAAACTTAGAGAAAATTAAGTTAAGTGAAATAAAGCAGGTACAGAAAGAGAAATACTGCATGTCCTCAGTTGTAAGCAGGAGCTAAAAAAATAAAGAAATAAAAATAAAGGAAGAAAGATACAGCAATCACAATAATATATTGAACTTTTAAAAGAAGAGAACAGAACTGAGGTTACCAGAAATGGAAAAGGGGAAAGTAGAGAGGGGCAGGGGAGGAGTAGGTGAAGGGCCACTAAAATTGATTACATTGCATAATTTTGAGTGTGCTAATTATCCTGATTTGAACATCACATATTGCACACAGATATTCGTATGCAATGCTGTACCCCACAGGTATATACAAGCAACTATGTTCCGATAAAAACAAACAAACAAACAAAAATTAAATAAATAGAAAGAAAGAAAACATAGGGGAAACAGTTTATGACATTGGTCTGGGCAAGGGTTTTTTGGATAAGACTTTTCTTCTTAGATTCCACAAATAAGTGAGCTCCTGCAGTATTTGTCTTTCTGTGCCTGGCATATTTCACTTAGCATAATGTTCTCCAGATTCATCTGCATCGTCATAAATGGAAGAATCTCCTTCTTTTTTTTAAGGCTGAATAATATTTTTAATGGTTCATATTGTCCAGAAGTTGGTCTTGAAAATATAGTTAATGAGTTCACTTCCATTAAAATTAGGAAAGTAAAATTTTAATAGTTCTGGTTTCAGAAAAATATAAAATATTTTAACTCAAAGTCATGATTTAAGTTCTAAAACCCTTTTAAGTTTTCAAGAATTTTTTAAACTACTTTAATGTTCTAAGGATAAAAGTACATCATAGGTGGTCAATAAATATTACTTGAGTACAAAGATCTGTATTTGGGGGATGCCATAAATTATTTGTATTATAAGAAGGCAAGGTTATTTCACGTTATATTTATGGGATCTGAGAACCAAGCAGTTTTTATTGAGTCCCTTTTCTCCCTCTAGTGGAGACAGATGAGACCACTGGGGTAAGGAATGTATCGAGTGCAGGATGTTTACAGTAACAAATATTTCTATTGTGGTGGTCAGAGCTTTATCCACTTACCTTAGAAATATGGAGTTCCTTAACACAACTATATCTTAGAGCAACATGGAACATCACTGTGGATATAAACAAAGCCTTGCACAAGTCTTCCATCAGAAAGAACTTTATTCAAGCAGTACAGAATTAATAATTCTTTTTTTTTTTTTTTTTGTTTTTTGTCTTTTTCCGTGTCCGGCAACGGATCCCAACCCCCAGTGTTGCCCCCCTACCCGACCGGGGCCCGCAACGGGACCC